GATCGCCCGACTCGATCGCCTCAAAAACAAACGTGTTTGTTTTCAGTTTCAGGCGATCGAGTCGGGCGATCGGCCCGATCCAGCCGTAGTGGGCACCCCGTTTTTAAAGCCTGCCATGGCATCATTATCATGCCACCATGCCATAGCATCCTGCCACCATGCCATAGATCTTTATGACATGATTATGATGGTAGATATCTAGTAGATCTAGATCTAGTAGGCTACTAAGCAGTGACATGTTGTAGTGACTTGAATGAACACAAAAGTCTAAAAGCTGAGGAGGGGGCAGTTAGTAGTTAGTCTTCTGATAGACTTAGTAGGGACTAGGGGAGTCATTGTCCTCCTTTTTGGAGAAGTTAGGCTAGGACTCGTACTGTAGGACTGGATGGCACCTGACAGTCAATTTTGTTTGATTTTGATTAGATATAGATATAGATCTAGAATCATCCATTCAGTGTGTAACATTCAGTCAATTCAGTGCTTAGATCCATAGCAAGATACGTTAACTTTTAACACAATCCAACTCTAGGATATTTGTAATTGAGTCCCTAACCAATGATTGTTAGCCAGTGAGTATGAATATTGAATGCAGAAATATATATGTTCATGAAGAGTTTGCTAATGCCCGCCGTCTTGACACGCCTCATGAGTAGAGTGGGTTCTTTTTTGTTGTTGTTGTTGTTTTGAAACGTTGGCAGCTTCTCCACATAAAGTAAAATCACACAAAGAGGGTTCTCTTGCGCAACCTCTTGAGGCATCGTGGTGAAATCAGGCTCTCGTCAAAAGAATGAAATCCGAGAAATCTGTATTTTTTAGCCTGTTTAGAGAGGGGTTTTTTTTTCGAATTTAAAAATTTTTGTTTTTTGGCTCAAAACACCTTGTATGTTTATAAGGCAAAAACACTTTTATGTGTGGATTTTATTTCTTAAAGAAAGGTGGTTTAAAGGCACAAAAAATGTAAATTTGCAGTTTCCAAGGACTCTTAGGACTAGGCTATGGAAGTCACCAAACTTTGGCGGCCATTTTCTCTCTAATTTTACCTCTGAAAACAGGCAACCCCAGACCCCACCTCCTTCAATCGCAAATGTGTCGACTTTTATTCAAGATAAATGGATATTTTTAAAATCGAAAGCAAGGAAAATGAATTGACGAGCACTTGATTCCACCACGTCGTGACACATGTCATATCCCTAGTGTTCTTGGCTGTGTTTATGTAACTCTCACATATGTATTGCACTCATCAGTCACACTGGAGCCCACAATTTTTTTTTAAAAGTGAAAAAGACGGCACAAATGACACCGTTCAATGGACTGTCTACCAACCTACCCATGTG